GCAAGTAATAGTTTGAGCTTGCGCATTAACGACCGCAGATGGTGGCTCGAATATTCGTAATGGAGACCTCGGGCTTGGTTCGCTGATATGCTGTTTTTAGTGTGCATTATTGTACTTAACAGAAGACACATATGTAATTTTTCTTTCGAAGAAAACATTGATTCTATWATAGTGACTGTACCATTGATGGAGAATAAATTGACAAGAAAGATATCTCTGGCAAAAGGTAAATAAGAAAGAGAGTATCGTTGCATTACAAAATCCTTGGAAACCAAACCTTCCACCTAACCAAAATTGCCTTTTAAGACCCGTTTACACTGGCGATTTTTGCGGCGATTTTTGCTGCGATTTTTGTGGCAATTTTCGGAAATATGAAATCTTTTGTCTCATCCTTCAAAAGAGACATTCGTCTAGGAAAATCTTGGTATCCTGAAAAAAACTTTACAAGTAAATTTTTTACCATTATTTATTATGGACAATATCGCAAAAAAATCGCAGCAAAAATCGCCGCAAAAATCGCTAGTGTAAACGGGGCTTTATGGGACCAAAGCAACGTACCTCGGTTGGCGGGAAAACAAATCTTGCACGTGATCAGATGGTGTTTCTTGAAAACCACGTGACATGGATTTTTTTTGCGAAAGTCGTTTTCTAAATGGACCATATTTACGTGTTTTGTTTTGTTTCGTTAGGACAAGAAGAAGCATGGCTCATGTCCAGCGACTGCCATCTGTTAAGGTAAATGACATCCATCGTCATTGGTTATTTTTCGTACTCGGTAGTTTCGAGTTTCGCGTTGGATTTTCACTGAGTTCAATCCCGTCACTTTTTCTCCTGTCCACACAAAACGCATCGAAAAGTTAACAATTTTTCGATGGTTTAGCGTGGYATGTCCTCTTATTTTCCACTAGATGACATCAACAGGGCCCGGCTGTACGAAGGGTGGATAGTGCTTTGCAATGGAGAAATCCTTATCCAGTGGATAAGTCGATGCTGTTATTATAATCATCATGGCTCCCCCCCTTGCCTTCCCTCCAAATCACATTATCRTAAAATACAATTTCAAATGAAAATGTGAAAATTAGTGTGGACGGGGCCGAAGTGGTCTCGGTTAAAGTATCTATAGTTGATGCTTACTGATCAATTTTGTTTTTCTTTTTGTTTCTTTTTTTCCTTTCCAGGGCAGAGTTAACAGCGATACACAGTTCTTTACTAGAAAATGAGCTCGATTCATGTAAAATGTTGCTGGAAGAGGAACCAGATAACAAATGTACGTAAAAATCGAACTCTTTTTGATGATCCTCTTTTTTGGGGGTTCAGCCACGTGACTCAAAATCCCTTGAGATATACATAACAATGAAACAGCCGCCCTGTTGGTTGATCTAACAASAGAAGCTAATGAGRAATGCTTTGTTATCGTCAACTAACATTGTGGCTATGATGTAGCATGCACCCCAASAATAGGAGGATAACAATGAAACAGCCGCCMTGTTGGTTGATCTAACAAGAGGAGCTAATGAGGAATGCTTTGTTAATGGTCAACCAACATGGCCGCTATGACTTAACATGTACCTCAAGAATTATCACGTCTTTATTCTACTTYTTGGGTTTCAATCAGCTGATAAAAGTCTTTGAATCTCATTATCTGCTCCAAATGGTGGTCAAACGCTGTACTGTACGGTGAAAACTTGTGATTCCGCTATTGAACAATCCGCACGAGACAGGAAATGACGTCAAGGGAAACCCAGCAATAGGGGTTTAGCACGTGCCGACGGCGGGCATGTTATATAGCAGATCAAAAAWTCCTTTTCCTCTCGGGAATAGACCTCTTTAACTTGGGCGTAATGTTTTCCCATTCCAGACCACTTGTCATTCCCTAAAGTACCATTTCTTTGTTTAACGGTGAGGGAACACATGAATATGGATACGACTCAAACAAAGAATCTTACTAGCCATAGAATGTGATCTGAAATGGGAAAAAAACACCAAAGGTAAAGAGATTTATCGAATCTTTCTAGTTCTAACTTCTCTTGCACGTTACGTCATCGCGGCTATGTTGGTACCATTTAACAAAAGATTTCTCATTAGCATCCATTGTTAACGGCACCACAATGGCCGCCATATTTTTGTCTTTTAACTCTCTTGGGAATGCTTGCAACCCATCAATAGAATGAGTGTATTGTTCCTATAGTCTAACATGGCTGCCGTGACGTGATGTTGCAAAAACTCTACAGACTTCTGCAAAAAAGTGTGGCGGCCCTAATATTTATGGACATTTCATCTCCATAGGGACGATCCTAACAATAGTACTACTAATGAGGGCTCTAGACCCTCTCGCATACCAAGACAACACAGAGAACTACTTGATCAAACTCTCCGAGATAGATCAGTGTAGAAGAGAATACTATCATGATCTTAGGAAGAAGTTTCGCTTAGAAAACGCCATCGAGAACCACTGGAAACGAGGGACCACTAGTGACGTGAGTAATATAAAAAAATGATTGAGCTATGTTTTCTCTGAGGTCCGTATAATCGGCTGAAATAGCCCGCCTCTTTTTGGCCCCTTCATTTCAGACCACCTATAGGCCTACTCTGACTCCTTACTCCGCTCTAGATCACCTAAGATCGCCCTAGATCGCGTTAGATTACCTAAAATCGCCTTCTGTCATCTTAGATTGTCTTAGATCAAATAAGATCGCTTTAGATCCCCTAAGACACTTATTTTTTCTCAGATCGCCTGAGATTGACGTATGTCGGCTTAGATCACCTAAGTCTCTAATGTCTTTCAATTAGAGCGCCTTAGATTACCTTATGACGCCTTATACTCGCTTAAGTTTATGCCACATTTATCCCTTAGTTCGCCTATGGTTGCCTGATATTGCCCTTCCAGCGGCAGGGTAAGGGATGAGGGCAAAACAATTGTCATCTCACGGTACCCGATTTAGGGGGGAGGGGTGGTGTTAGGGGTGGGAAATCCTAGATTTTGTCCCCAAATATCTCCAAAACTAAAAGCCAAAWCACAGAAATGAATGGACTGTCCGTCTGCATGTATGCTAAAAAACATACTTRTGTATAGAAATTGCCACTACACACCCCCAGTATCAAGCATTTGAAGAGGTCTCTGAGGGGGGAGGGGGTATGTACCGGTACCCACCACCTTTATTCATCGGGTCCCTATTTTGGACTATTGTTTTGACCTCGCCCCTAAGGACCACGTGTCATTCTCTAGGGTAATATTTTTTGTTTGTTTAAAGGTTTTGCATGACACGTGGTCTGAACACTATCTTTTTTTCTATTTTAGGACGAACTCGAACGATCCATCAACTTATCAAACATGGTAAGACTAATGCTTATGTAAGGTTTATGTAAGGTTTATTGCCGCATCCCTCCCCTCCCCCCTWCATTTTTCCCATAGGGGAGAGGGGTGGCAAGGGCTGTGCACTAGCTAACACTAGCTCTTTTATCAGCTGTAAAATGAAGCTGTGCGAAAGGGTCCATTTGACGTCGGTAGTTCRAATTTATGCCTGACTGCCTCAAATRCTATAATTGAAAGCTGTCCTCTTCTCTGCATTCTAAGTTGCTTAAAGCAATTTGAGCTGCACGAATTAGAGAGAAGTTGAAGTTGCACTTACCGACTTAGCAGTAATCGCTTTTTAAAATAGTAATAATAATCAATAATAATAATTCAAAGTTTTACATTTGAGTTGGTTGATCGAAACTCTACTAAAATATTAGGATTCTCTTGTTTGAAACCAAGTTTTCTTCATCTATTTTATTATTATTATTAGTAGTAGTAGCAGCAGCAGCAGCAGCATCATCATCATCATCATCATCATTATTATTATTAATGTTATTATTTTCTGGTCACGTCGAACTTCCCATGAGCCCAACCAAATGACATAAGAGAAGACCGCCTTATTATCCATTGTTTTCAATGCGTACGGCTCATTTAAAGTTTGATGTTTGACCTTAGTCTTGATAATGGGAATAAGACACATCCGTTTCAGTGTGGGTGTATCGTTTTACCTTCAGCTCTGCTGGTAATAAGTTTCAAGTTTTATATTTCCATTAAGGACATTAAGTGACCAGTGAGTTTGCCGTCTCAAAATAGACTACTATTTTCTTACAGCTAAGATAAGTGCGTGTCATGATTAGCATTGCTATTTTTAGGTAGCAAGTGGTTCCTCAAATGTTTATCGTAATCTTCGTTCAAAATATTTAATAATTAATTTGCAAATCAGAGGGCACAAATAAAGTTCTATTCTATTCTATTCTATTCTATTCTATTCTATTCTATTCTATTTT